ATATTCGGTTCTTCTCCTGCATAAATAATAACATCATATCCTATTTCTGTTTCAAAAAGTTTTTCATAATCATTAGATAACTCTTCCAAAAATTTCGAAACATTGTTAAAAAAAGTTGTAACGTTTATTTTTCGAGTAAAAGTTTATCAACCCGTTTTAGAATAAAAATTAGCCTTAAATATTAATTTTATGATGTTTATTCATGTGTCACTGTATTTACGATGGGAAATTATTGGCGAGCAATAAATAATTTAGTAACTAATTAAAATTGTTTTATTATTTTAAAAAATAAAATTACAAATTTAATATTTTCAAATATTTAACAAATAATCTGTACTTACAAATAAATAATTTATTTTATTTATATTAATTTTTGAATCTCAACGTCCCAAAGTAAATACATAAATTTTCTATCTTTTAATTACTTGAAATACTTCATAATTCTCTACTGTAAAACTAAGGGTATTTGAAGTATTTGGAATACCTATATTAGGATAGTAATTTCCGAAGTTTTTCCAATTGTTATTACCATAACAGATAAGACCACCACCCATTTGTGGACCACGGACATTAGAACAATAAACAGCGTATTCCGGAGTTTTAACATAACCTAATTTTGCAGTAGAAATATTTTCTCCATCTGTAAAATTAAATAGAAAACTATCACTAGTAGTTTTCCAAACATTCCCATTCCAATCAAGTGGATTATATCCTCCAATTAATTGTGTTGAACCTTGAATTTTTGCTACAAAAATGGTAGCTCCTTTATTATCACAATTTCTATTAAATGATGCAGCATCAAATCCATCTCGACCTGAATGATATAATAATTTGAAATCATATGGAATATTTTTGTTATTATAATGTGAAGAATCTTTTCTATCAATCCATGAAGCAAAAAGGGGAATGTGGTTTGATTGAATTATGGTTGAATCAAGTTTAATTTTTAAATTTGATTTTCTTGATGGTGCTGTATTAGCTTTAGGCATTACGCCAGGAACAATGTGAAATTCCAAAAGATCATGAATCAAATCTCGTGGTAAAATATCCTTATAATTATAAACTTTATAAAAGAAATCTGTGGGTTTAATATAATAAAATCTAATTGATGGAATAAATCTATGTAATGATCTCTCAATCTTTGTAATATCATCTTTGGTCCATTTTGTTGGATCATTATCTAAATTTTGTTGAGCAAAACACCATTTCAACAAACCTTCCCAAACTTCAATTTCATTCATGTTTAAATCATCTCTTTTTATCAATAATTCCAATAAAGGAGCTTTTAAGTTAACAAATTTGTTTGAATTAAATAAAATTTTAGGTTCTTCACAAATCTTCTCAAGGCAAAAATCCCATAAATCCGTAAATGTCTCATGTTGATAGACGGTTTCAAGAATACCAGTTGGATTTTGATGTAAAAATTCAGTTTGATGTTCAATTAAATATTCTTGAATATGAGAAATTAATTGTTGAACATTAAGTTCGTCTACATCTATTAATAATTTCAATACGTCTAGTCCTTGTAAATTTTTTAATTCAATATTTCCACAATAAATAAACCTAAACATAATAGAATAAAAAATTTTTAATAATTTTAAACATAAAAAAAAAAATTTAATACTGCGTAAATATTATACATTGCCTAAGAATGATGTCAAATAAATGAGACGAAATATTTGGTTTTTTTAAAATAAATTTTCCATCTTTTTTTTCAGCCCATTCATTAGAAAATGCTGTACGAAAATATTTTGACCTAATACATAAAATATTTGAATG